GACCCGTGTCACAACCGGGAAGGTGTGTGCATGGTTCGTATGCCTCTTAGTTGGTTTGGAATCAGGATTTATAACCAACTTCCCCAGGTGAACTGCCAATGATTCGCCGCCTCGGTTATAGCCCCAGATGTCATCTTTTCGTCCTCTCACTAGTTTTAAAATATCTCCGCCACGAGAAGACAGTGATTAGGGCTTCCTCAGCATAAGCTATTTAAGCCTCTTTCTCATTTGGGAGCACTTCGTGAAGACCAAGGGGAGGGCGATCAGTCACAACTACAGATACCCATACCATACCGAGAATTTCGGTACTGCGTCTGCTATATTTTGGATTATCTTCATTTCCATGTGTACGATGACCAACATTTTTGAGAATATAAACGGCAATCAAAAGGGAATCCGAAATTCGAAATTTAATTACATTTTTATATTTTAACGAAAGTATATTGAAAAATATTTTCACCACGACAAAAGTACCGCACTCCGGTGGACTTTGTTGATTGTCGATTCAACCTTGCATTTTTCAACGTTGAATTCGCTGTCATTAATTATGGACCATTGGTAAGCTGCGTCGAGAGATTCCTACAAGGTTTCATAATGTTCAGGATATTGTACCGTCCTCCATGTTTTGGCGTCATCAGGGAAAAATAATGCTTTTTCTCCAAGGATATCTGGTAGTTCGTCTATGAATGCTAAGAAAAGGTACGGACCGAGTATGGATCTTTGTGGAACTCCACAGACAGCCTCAATCGGTCCCGAAAGAGAACCACTAACTCGAACCGATACGGTACGTTGTCGAAGAAATTCCTCAATCCAGTCCAGTAGAAGTCCTCGGACACCGTAATTACGGAGCTTTCGCAGCAGTATATGGTGGTTAACCCTGTAAAAAGCTTTGGGGAAGTCTAAGTAGATTATATCTACTGCCTGTCCTGCTTGGACCGATCTTGTCACTTCATCTCGTGCAAGTAGCAGGTTTGTGGTGCACGAGCGTTTCATTCGAAACCCGTGTTGGGCCGGCGAAAGTATGTTATTTTTCTCGAAATGATCCATCAGAGAATCAGCAATAATCGATTCCATTATTTTTGACAGAACAAGATGTATAACTGGACGGTAGTTCGCAGGATCCCTTCTGTAGCCACTTTTGTAAATAAGCGAAATGATGCCGTGTTTCCAGGATTGAGAGATCTTCGTCTTGTCGAACAGTCTTTGGTATAAATGGGCAATTATTTCAGATTTGTAACTTACCAAGAACGTCAGGGTGTGTGGCCGGATATTGTCTTCTCCTGGAGATTAATTCCGGCGCATCGCCAATAGTTTGTTTTTAATCGTTTCAGATTTGAACGTGACAGTGATCAGTTGGGGGTACGGAACACTTGATAAAAGGTTCGGAAGCTGTAATCCGCCTTTGTTACCTGCAGTGAACACTTTGTAGAACTGGAGTTTTAGGAATTCGGCTGCTTCAGCAGTAGTAGTGGAAATGCGTGCCTGCATGCCTTGGTGCCGGTATTTCATATTCCACTTTTTTGGTAGCATTGATATGCTTATATAGTAACTTTGGATTTACAATAAATTTATGTTTCTTGAAACCTTCGTTTATCCTCTCTCACTAATTTTACACAAAGGTTTCTCAACAAGAAGTAGTTATGCCAAGTGTCGGCGGTCGGACATCTTATGAACGCTCGCCAAGAGAAATTCCTCTGTGACATCCATTTCTTAGTTCGACTACGGATAGGTGATAATCCTGTAGGCAACGTACCGACAGGCTCGGTTTTTGTGGCGACCGTCATGAGTTCTGTTATTGTCTCAATGAATCTTTTCCAGGACTCCAGTGGATCTAGCTGCTCGTCTGGATTAATTTGAATTTGGTTAATCCACGGTGATGTTTGAACTCAGTTAACTCTCATTCACATTAGCTACGCGTGACTGTGTCTGTGGTGGTAATCTTTCTTCTGTTACAAGCGGAAGGCCATAACAATGGCTTCGAGTGAACAACGGGTCCTCGTAACAGGGGAGTCTACTCTGTATATTGTTCATCACAAAAGATTGTGGAGCGAAAATAAGTTTTTAACCTTACCGTTCCTAAAACAAGGATGACCGTTTCCTGTTTCGAAACCTAAATTAAACGAGTTAAGAACAGTGTCGGGTTGAGTGCTCGGTGATCGGTGAAGCGTTTTGGATAACGGGTTGCGCATCAATGAAAAAATCCAACTACCTCATAGATCACACTAGATTGTGTAATGTTAGGGGTGCAATCTCGAACAAAACACTCAGAGCTTCTTTGATTGTTATTTCGGCCGATTACGATCTAGTCGGGAAAGGTACCAATTTTCATCCAATGGGATTTCTACGTCGACAACACCTGAGCTGTTGCTACACCAATGCACACGGATTCCTCAGTAAATTTTCCGAACTCATGTGGCGTTTCCCATATGACCAATGGAATATCATTGCTGTTACCGAAACGTGGATGTCAGTTGGTATTGGTGATTACGAGCTATCTTTATCAAATATGTCTCTACTAAGATGCGATCGTCCCACAAATGACACTGGTGTTTTACTTTATGTTCGCGATGACCCTCAGGGCGGGGTAATCAATCCTGCGGTTTCGGCTCCTAGTACACTTTATTGTAAACTACGACGGCCCAAATTGTGTGAATGTTTGATTGGCTCAGTCTATCGTCGCACATCAAAACTCTATCGCATACTATATCACACATTCTTACATCAAGATTTACCCATATTCTCTTGATGGCTGATTTCAACTGCCCCAATCTTAATAAATCTACTATCGTCCGCCAATTATTCAAACATCAATCCAAACGGCTGGTTGACGCGCGTCCACTGTACGACCATGTGAAGGAGGCCACCATGTTTAGAAGCCTGCAGTCGCCACCAATACTGGATTTCAGTTCAGTTGTTACAACCGTTAACCATGCATTTTCGTGCGCCGGTTTTGGCTTTAGTGTTGACAAACGAAGAGCTGATGGTAGAATCTATCGGTGTGATCCCCTCCCTTAGAACGCAGCAATCATGCAGCACTTTTAATCAGATATATTTTTTTACGCTTCCATTGAAGGATATCGTTCGGACAACATGCACAGATCCATAGATCATACAAAGTTGCAAAACTTGGTGCTCTGTTCTCAGTAGGTTTCCTATGAGGGAAAACCCAATCTGTTGGTCTCCCGGCAGAAATTTATTGAAAGTTTTACAGACCCACAAACATCAGTGATTAAGACTAGAGTAATCACAAAATCTAACCTTAGAAATTCACCTGTTGGAAGCAGCACACGGAAATGGTTATCTTCGAGAGATCTGTCTTGGCGCTATTATAAATGTCTTCCGGATGTCGTCAGTTTGAGTAAGTATCGTATGCTCAGAAACCACTATAACATACCGATGTATCAAGAGACTCTAGCACATAGATTCATCTCTAAGCCTAAGTTGTTGTGTTCGCGCGTTGCCTCAATTCGAAAGTTAAGTTTGGTAAGCTGCGCTGGGAAAGTTGCAGCCACCGCAACGGAAACAGCTGAAATCGTGTAAATCCAGCATTCCAAATTTGCGATGCACATGTTGAAGGTGTTCCGCTCCCTCGCCGGCTGCATCTTTTTCCTACTCCTTTCCCGACCAACGTAACTGCTGAAAACGTCAAAGTAAAAGTAATGGATTCGCGAAAAAATACAACCGCAAGGGTGGACAAAATACACCCGAAATCCCTTATCTTATTGGCGAATGACATATGCCAACGGATGTTCGACCAAATAATCCTCCCACAATCGTGGAAACCGGAAGTTATTTCACCCATATACAAAGGTGATTGTCACAGTGACCTCGCCAAACACCATCCAGTAACCCTACTACCAGTGTTATCGCAAGCCATGGAGTCAATTGTAGCAGATTCCCTCATAGAACATTCTTTCGACAGCTCAATACTGGCTCACGCAATGGCGATCCTACTCTAACAATTTGATACTTGTTTGAGAACCTTAGGCAACGGGGATGAGTTTAATTTGATTTATCTTGACTTCTCGACAGCATTTGATCGGGTAAACCACCAAATGTTTTTACAGAAACTCTACGGTTACGGTATTCGAGGTTTCCAAACGCTAGATCCTATCCCTACGCCGCAGGAGTGGATTGTCGTTTTCCCCTATGAAATCACCAGCTGCCGCATATAATGGGTGGGAAAAATTTAGGTATGATTGTTCAAGAGAACTTAGGCTATTCGATCAATTGCACCAGGGCTTCGTCCGTTGCTGTAAAGGTTATCGGTTTCCTTAGGCGAGTCTTTGGTCGAATTGAATCAGTGTTGATCCCGCGTTTGCTATCAGTATACATTCGACCGTATGCAGAGTACGCCATCCAAGCTCAGAGTCTATGGTAGTAACGTGATCGTAAGACGCTGGAGCGTCCACAAAGGATCGGCATCAGTATGGTCAAGTGGTTTAACTGCCTCAGCTTTGAGGAGAGATTACGATCATAGGGGCTATATTCTGTTCAGTATCTCCGAACTGTTACTTGTGTGCCGTGTTTCAGTTGTTAAACTTGGAGAAATCTGTCACATTATTATGTTATTTGGGTTCATGCACGTTGTTTTTATTTCTAAAACTATGTTTAATGTCTTATCTTTCATTTAGAGCTTACGTTGTATTTTGACTTCGAATATCGATGTAACATGTTTTTTATAGCCCGTATTAATTGTAAGATTATATTTAATTTACATGAATATTTGGAACCCCTGACGTTCTTAAAATATGATGATATTTTAATTGCTTCATCTTTCCTAGTTTGAAAATCCATATCAGTCTATGATGGTAGCTTTCAAGCGACAAGATCCAAGGCACAGTAACAGAGTTCGCGAGACTGATTGTTTGGGTGTTTTACGGGAATACGGCTTGCCGGTGACTGCATCTGATCTTACCACTTTCTTGCGTCGCATTTTAAGTTCTTCTGAAGCTGATGGCTACGGAATCGGACGTGACAAACCCCCAGAAACAGATGGAGTAGAGAGTGATTTCGCTAATATTCGACCTGGACTTGTTCCTTACAAGCGTTTGTTAAGCTTCTATCAAAACCGCGCCAAAGGTTCACGAGCCCGACAAGTTATGAAAAATCTTGCCGCGAAGTGAGCTTAGCATTTTGTTTTCAGCTTTTTATTTTTATTCTCATCAGTCTTATCGTTTGAAGAGTCTTATTCACAAATTTTATTTGCTCTACTAAATCTTGTGCGAAATAACGCCCAGACTATGTACTTTACTGGAGATGGCTTTTTTAATATACCACCATTGGCTGGGTGCTTTCTAGATACAAAACCTCCCCGTGATAGTCCACTACCTCTTGGAAAGTTAACATGTTCTCAGGGTTGGGCAGACAGAGTAGTTTTCATTTGTCTTCCTTGATGTTGCTTATGAGAAGGATATCGTCCACGTATAAATATTATAAATCTGCCTTGAAACATTCACTTCTGGTTTGTGTTCTAAGCGCTGATGAAAAATATCCACTTGAAAATGCCCCAGTGGCAGCCCAGTCTACCTACTGACATGCTTGTCACGAAAACTTGATGT